CTTGAAGTTGTCTCCTATGTACGCAAGCGTTGACTTCCTCCATATCTTCTTCTTCTTTCTCCTTCCCCTGTCTCTTGCTCTCCCTCTCATTCCATTTGAATGAACGAGCAACTTCTTCGACTCCTAAAATATGTAAGATTTGAATTTTTTTTTCTCTAGGGCACAAACAACCCCTCGCCTCCTCCTGTAGCCACTGAACTTTGCCGATTCGATCTCCCTTCTTTCTCTCCCGATTGGCCTTTTGACCAAAGCCTTGTGATATAACCACATAGTGCTAGCCAAGATGGAATTACGACATCGCGAAGTGCACTTTCTCCTTCTTCCGTTCACCCCTACCCAAAGCCATCGAGCAAGGTTACCTTCGCCTTCCCCCCTCGCTCCTTCTCTCCTTCGCACGACTCAACTTCTCTAAATCCCGTAAATCTTCAACCAGATGCCTTAACCCAGGATTTAAGATAAACCGAAGGAGAAACAAGATTTAAGATAGTAGGATTAGAAAGCCCAAAAAGGCTAATATATTAACTAGAAAGAAAGATACAAATATAATGTGTGGGAGGGCCCAAGCATGACTCCCTGCCCACACAATAACCACAAATGGTTCCAAAACTGGATATAATTTTCATAGCACAAAAAAGAAATATCAAAGATCCTTAAAAGCTAGTAAAAAACATGCATTTAACTAAAGATCTAAGCCAAATTCTATAAAAATATAACCCATATATTTAACATGTTTGCATAGAATCTTTGCATGCAAAGTTGGTCTGAGTTGACAATGCTTGCCTCAATATATCAATTATAAGACACATAATAATAACAATAATAATAATAATAATAGTAATAATAAAAATTAATATTATTAATTAGATTTAATTAAATTTAATTAATATTAAGGACTCCTCCTGCTCTCATCCTATTATTTGTTTGCGGGTCATCTATATTGAAATAACAATGACTCACGTTCTCTCATTTCGCACGAAACACTCTCTTTCTTCCCGTGCTATTCTAAAGCCTCTAGTTTTCCTTCCTTATTCAAAACCCATCTCTTCACAAAAAAAAAAAAAAAAAAAAAAAAAAAACTTAAAGTTGCCTCTTCATTTTCTTTTTTTTATCCCTCTTTTTTCTTTCTCCGTTTATGCAGGAAGAATCTTCTTCATTTGTTTTATGTCAAACAAGTCGTAAAGACACTTCGTTCCTCTTCTTCTTCTCTTCTGTTCACTCAAATCTTCAACGTATGAAACTTACACAACAAAACCGCAAGCCACTTACCTTTACTTCCTCGTCATTCTTCTTCCTTACCAAGCCTTGTGTTCAAATTTCTCTGTCCCGCGTCCCCGAAGTAGCAATCCTTCGCTACTACGCCTCTCCAACAACTTACATGACGGACAACTCCTTTTCTGCTTCATCGGTGACCCTCTCCGCTCTCACCCGTGCCTTCTCCTCCATATAGTCACAAAATCTAATCAACTTCTATGTACTGCAACCCCTGCTTTCTTCTTCATACAACAAGACAGTTGCACAGAAGAACCGAAAACCTTTTGCGTTAACCCACATGCAAAATCACACAGTCCAAACGCCTCTCGGTGTGCACTATTCTTCTTCCCTGATCACCGGCCTCAGTGATATGTTTTCACTCTTTTTGAAGCTATGGTCTTCTAAAGTTTTCGTCTATAGTGAGTTGGTAGAGTTGGTAGGAACTCATGCTATATCTCTTTCTTCATCTTCAAGTTTTCTCATTTTCCATATGTGGCTTCCTCTCTCGGTCTTTTCTGATACTTGATTCCCAAGTTTTGTGGCCTCCCTTCTTCATCACTGAAATCCTCCATATGGAAGGGATCAAAATTCTCATCACTTTTTCGTCATTAGCTTTTTCGGTCACCATTGAGGGTATGTCCCTCCGGAGTGCATCCTCAATATCCGCCAATCTTCACTGAAGTCGGTGGATCTCTCGCTGTATGTCTTTTCGGGTAAGCTAGGGCATGTATTCCCTTGGTGGCGTGATCAGAGTTTAGAGTTGGGAAGTAAAAAGTGTAAAAATTTGATTTAGGGTTGTAGATTTTAAAAATCAGTTGGGGAAAGTTAGGGTTAGGTTAAAGTTTGGCAATGGTTTTGGAATATGAAAAAAAAATTATGGTGGATGGGTATGACTGATGCTAGGAAATCTTAGGATACGATTAGGGTTTAGGCTAGCTCTGGTGCCGAATTATACCAAAGTTATCCAAAACTTAATAGGGAAAAATATTATTACTCAAAAGCAAATAAATGGTTACAAGTCATACATTGAAAGGAGAATTATAACAAATATGATGCAAAACTCACACTTGGGTGGATTTAAGTTGGTGGTGGTGGCCATTAGGGGGGTTCAGAAGTGTTGGTAGATGATTGGGATGGTTGGGTGGCGTTTGGAACATGGAAGAGGTTTTGGGTGGTTGTTTGACGGTGGAAGCAAGCGTGGGATGGCTGGACAACAATGTGACAACAAGTGGAAGGGCTTGTGGGGTTGCGGTGGTGATGTTGGATGGCAAGACGGGGGTGGAACAACAAGAGGAAGGATTGGCAAGCTGCGATAGCAAAGGTGGAGTTACGGGATTGCGAAAATAGCAAAACAGGTAGCTGAGACAGTGAGGGACAGCGGAGGGGCAGGGCGGTGAACCGCGAAACAACATAGGGGGGGATGTCATTGGACTGTAGAGGCGAGGGGAATGGTTGGAAAGGTTGCGAAGGAGTTGGGTTAGGATAAATATCTCTTGGGGATCGAAATGCAGTCGGAGTGCCACTCGATCCTTGGGGGACGGTCACCATCTCAGAGGAGTTACAGTCCGAGCACCTTCTCGTTATTGGATACAGCTATCAGAAGGGAAAATATTTTAGTGGCCATTATCTGAAATCAGAAACAATAAAAAATTCCCCATATATCACACACACACACACACACACACACACACACATGCTTCATTAGTGTATTTCACACACACACACACACACACACATGCGCCATTAGGAAAATTCCCCATATATCACACACACACACACACACATGCGCCATTAGGGTATTTCTATCTCTCATATGCAAATGACCAAACAAAAATGAGCATCCTTTCTAAGTAAATTTGGCATTGCAAAAGTATTATTGCAGTCCGTTTCTCAAACGGGGACTATTTCGGACAATTTTGACAGCCTTCGTAGTATTTCAAGTCTATTTACGTGATTTCAAATCCTATCTCTATCATTTTATTGTGCTTGGTTATTTTTTGTCATAGATGGTCTTTTTTTGTAGGCAATAACGATATTCCGGACGTGCCCATGCACTCTAATTTATGAACGAAACTCATTTGAATAATTTTGATGGCCGTGGAGAGATTCAAATCCAAATCATGTGCGTTGCGTTGCGCATACAATTCATTGTTGTCACCATGATTGTTTGTTTTGATCACAAAATAGTTCTTCTTAGGTATATTTGATACTTTGAACATGCTCGCAGTTTTTTTTAGGAATGGGTGTCATTTGGATAGATTCGACAGTGTCCGAAGTGAATTAGCCTTGATTTGAATGTGGCCTTATTTGTTGTTGTCGATACATGCAACCAAATCACCGAGCTGAGCAAGTATGGAGGTGAACAACTCAGTTTTTTAGCTTTAATGTAGTTTCTCAATCCCTCCTGTCTTAAGTAACTAGGCTATTATTTATTTGGAACACATAAATATTCTATTCTTGCAGTTCACATTCTTTTTGTTGCCACTTTGTATATTCCCTGTATTAGAAAGCTAAGTTTTTTCCTAACAATGACATGTCATGATCACAGCCCAACTTGCTTTGGTAGTCTAAATAAATGTGGTGTTAGATGCGACATTTATCTCAAGCTGAGTGCCTGGTTGAAACGGTATTTACACGGACTTGCCATGCCACTCCTGATTTCTCTGTGGCTAAATCCTCCCTGCTGCCTTGAATTGTGCTAATGTCTAACTTGGCTTGGTTAGAGCATTCTGGTTCAGTTTTCCTGCAAATGTTCAAACTATTTCTTAAAACCTTTATTTCCTTCCCTAGCCAAGTACTTTTAGCCCTAGACTGCCGCTTTCTTTCCATATCCACCTTTTTTGGTTTTTAACTTCATCTATATTCTTTGAATCGGCAATTTTCCTAGTTGCAGCTCTTTCTATTGTTTGTAATTGAACTGATGCTGCATGTGGGAATGAAGAAAAAAATTTTCAGTACTTTAACATGCTTATTAAGAGGCCACATCTTACTGTAAAAGATGAGATGTTTGACAAGCGATTACCTGCGGGTAAGTAGAAAAAAGTACTGTTTACGTTTGTAAAGGTTGAAGGTCCTCATTATAGAGAAATAATAACCTTTAATCTGAAAATTGGATTTGTATACCTATAAATGGTAATGGATGTCGATGCCCCGTTTGTGCAGCTTTCATCCTCTTCCATTTTTGTAATTGTTGAGGGTGTTGGCTGTTATTGATCGAGGGAGTTAATGGACGGCAGTGTTTCATGAACAATTTGGAGTGGTTAGTACAATTGCTTTCATTGTTTGTATTAACCTCTATGCATGATCCTTCAGTTTGAACATTCACGAGTGCCTTCTAATTTTCTCTTTGTTTTGTTAATAATTCAACAGACATATCAATGTTACCTAATGCATTGCTTTGTAGTCTATCTTGCTGGATAGCGCAAAAGATGAAAAAAGGATTTTTATTCATTCTGTTATAATACCATGTACAGTAATAGAACTTCTAGCATGCTAATACTTGATTTTGATGATATTTAAACGTGACATGTCCCAGTAACTATTGTGTTTTGAAGTGTTGCTACGAATGCTAATATATTACATGTGCGTAATAGATGGATTTGTCAATGTTCACTTTGACTTCTGTTTTTTTGTTTGCTCGAGATTGGAATCATTCTTGATCTTTGTATTGGCTCTGTATTCTATGTTCTGCAAGTGCTGCCTATTTTTGGATCTACATTGATACGGTTTCTGTTCTATTGGTTCACCAGCGGAGTGGTTATTGCTGAAGGTGTTTTAAACAACGACAATCATTTTGAACGGCATGGTATCATTCTGCTACACATCTATTCATTTTTTTATGCGCTATCTTTTATTCATTGGGGCTATACTTCTGTTCAAATAAAAAAATTGTGTGCTAAATTTAATGCAGTCTTATTTATGCTTGTTAGATAGTTTAATACTTGTGCCATTATTAAGAATTGATTCCAAATATGGACGAACTATTTTTACTTCATAATATTGCATATTTGACAGGATGCTTTTCTTTCTTTTCTCTGGGATACCTGAATTTCTTTTTATCCTATCAGTAATATCTAGTTTTTGAGTAATATATATTGAAATAATTTTGATTCCGTGGTCATCATTTTTCCATCGATAATAGTTCAACAATATGTGGAGAATTACTTCCCTTTGGTAACAATCTAGGTTTACGTAGACAACATCACTCCATTTTTGTTTTGTAGCTAATTATGGATTCTAGAATTAAATACTGGTTTTCATATTTATTTATTGATTTGGATGTTGTTTTTTCACCCATGCCTGTAAAATAAGAAAAAAAACCCATGTCTATAGTCTGTACAAATTTTTGCTTCTTTTTTAACACAAAAGAAGGGAATATAGTTTAATCATAAAAACTTCAATTTTCTACTCTTTTTTCATTCTAATTTTCAAGATACTATCATAGTCATTAAGGATTTACTTCCTATTAGGCTGGCAGGTCCTTTAGTATATAATATAGCCTCCTGGCCATTTATTCCTTCACCAACACTGCAGTCAGCCTTGCTTAGCAAGTGTGTCGGAAATTTATATGAATGATCATCCTAGAACGTGACGGCGGGAGCTGCCATGAAAAGTTTTTGGCCAAGAAGTTGACAACTGGATTGGTGGAAGTCAAACTTAAAATGAAAAAATCTAGGATGACATGTATTGTATTGAGAAAGTATAAAGAGAACCAAAAACAAATACAAATCTTAACAACTTTTTTATTATTTTAATCACCTGAACAATCAACAGAAAACAATTAGTTATTCTTCTTATAGAAACAATTAGTTTTCTTTCTTATAGAAACGTATTCTGAAACTTCACCAAAATAAGCTTGATTGCTTTGAAAGGTAAGTTAGTTGATTCTTTCAATGGCAAAAAGAAGGTAATAACTATTTAGATTGTATTTGGGAAGCATCATGCCATATTATAGGAGTTTAACATGTCTTGCACAAATATATGCTATGCCATGAAAATTATAATGTCTATATCACATATGACAACTATCAAAAGTGGTTGAAACTTGTTCCACCATATTTAAAAGATTTACATTTCGTTCCATGCTTCTACGCCTAGCTAAATAATTGACTATCAATCAATAAACTTACTCGAGGAAAACAACATTACTCAAAACAAAAGTTTATATTGTTTATTTCTTATCTAAATTTATTAATTTTCATGAATTGAACTTAAGGAGGATGATTGTGTAAGAACCGAAACTTTTGTTTTTTCTTCCCTATAATCCTGCTCATATTGCTTGTTTTATTCACAGCTTTACTTTTCTTCCCCAATCCGAAGATTGAACTTAAGGAGGATGATTGTGTAAGAACCGAACTTTTGTTTTTTTCTTCCCTATAATCCTGCTCATACTGCTTGTCTTATTCACAGCTTTACTTTTCTTCCCCAATCCGAATTTTTCTTTTCTAGCATTCGATCGTCCACCTGTTGAATATATGATTAAAAAAAGAAAAAGGAAGAAGACGGGAAATGAAAAAAAGAGAGATAAAAATCAATAATATACTATAATATAATTAATTAAATTAATTAATTACTTAATTGTTAACCTCTTCCCTCCTAAGAGAGCCCGGTGGAATGCTTAATTGGTCCCGCTCTCCCAAATTAGTTACAAATAGAGGAATGAATCCCTTTCCCATTCATTCGCACTGTTTTCCTATTGTTCCCCTTTTCACTTGGTTGATTTGAAACCATAGCAGAACGAAGCGTTCTCCTCTTGCCATCTACCTTCCTCTTCATTTATCTTCTCCTATTCGTAGCCCGTTCAACTAAATCGGAAGTCATTTGTTCTTTTTTAGTCGTTTCTTTTCTCTGTTCATGCAAGAAATCTTGTTCGTTCATCTTATATCGCAACAAGCAGCACTTTCTGTTCTTTGTCTATGCCAAGTAGAAATCCCAAATTTCTCTGTCACGATCAGAACCAACCCTCCTATTCTTCCCGTTTGAAGAACTCTACTCAAACGCCTCCCTTGTAGCCCTAGACTGAATTCCTCTTTTGTTCACTCCTTTCTGTCTTGATTCTCGCACTCATGAACAAGCCATCCGCCACTGCTCCTCTCTGCCGTTGCCAAAAGCCTTCGCTAATGCCAAACTCCCTGCAAATCCCATGATCCGATCTTCTTTCCTTATTGCACGCTGAAGAACTCACACAGAAGTTCTGCAACCCTCATCCCTCACAACACAGGAATCACAACTAATCTTATCTGCCCCGATCGATCCTCCTTTGCCATAACCTTCGCGTGATCCCCTCTTTGCTCTAACCTATATGTAAGATCACTCCACTCAAATGCCCCTCTGCTTTGATCGATTCCCTTTTGTTGCGATTGATTCCCTTTACTGTGACTCAAGTCTCCGAATCTCTTCTTCTTTCTCGCACTGGCTTGTTCGACCCTAGCCTCGCACCGCCTGATTCCCCTCTGCATGAGTCACTCTTCCCCAGCGCGATCTCCTCCCCTACTAAGCTCGCGATTTTGTTTCCATTGCCCTAGAGCTCGAGTTGTGGCTTTGCAAAGCCTTCCTATATTAAGGGTCCGTTTGTGACAGTTTATTTGTTGTATTGCGTTTTGAAAATGTCGACAAAAGCGTTTGGTTACTACTGTGCTGTAACTTATCCTAATAATTTGTTAATAATTCGTGTTAAACGCGGCTATAGGATTGACCACGTAGCCTGCGTTTCTTCGAGTATGTATTACTCCGCCGCCCCTCCTGACCCCGTGACTCCCTCTCTCGTGTCTCATCTGCCCTAGGCGTTTCTCTGTCTCTCTCAATCGCTCTCGCAAACCCTGAGTACCTCTCTCTCGCGCTTGTCTCAAGCCTCTCACGCGTCTCTCTCACGCTTTGGCTGAGCCTCTCACGCGCCTCTCTTTGGTTGTTGCCTTTCTCGTCTTCCTATTTCCTTCGATCTCTGGTTGCTCTGTTCTGTATGTAATTCCTGTGCTCATTTTTTATGAAATGACTTTCTTTTTGTGATTTTTGGCTTTCTGATTTGAAGTTTATTGTGAGATGTTTGTGATATTTGCGATTTTTAACTTTCTAATTTCTCACTTGCGATTTGCGATATGCGAATTGAATCTTGCAAATAAATAAAAATTGAAAAATGTGGAATGATGTTTTTATCTCCACTGATTTTTTGAGTTGGAATTTGGAGAATTGATGGAATATGGTGCTTGATTTGTACATAAGATTGCTTCGGGTCCCCTCTATAGTTTTTATTTTTTTGTTTGAGCGAGAATCTGAAAATTGGATGGAGGGTGCTTAATTTTTAGATAGCAACGTTTCGACTGCCTGTATGTAGTTGCCTCAAATGAAAAATATGAAATGTAGGGGTGTGAGCGAGTCCCAGCTTGTGTTCGACACGTTTGACTTTAGAGGTAAAAAAAGTGTCTTCGTGATCGGCTCGTTTGCTTAGTGAGCTGAACACGAGTTGTTCACGTATAAAGAGTTGTTTTAAAAACCCTAATCTTGTAGCCATAAGATGTTAAGGGTTGAGGCAAGATTTAAAAATTGTTGTTTATATTATAACATATAAACAATAATAACAACTCAGAAAAGGAAACTAGACAAGGACAAAAACGACCCTCTCTAGCAGAGTGCAACATGTTCGACCAATGGAGGAAGCTGCTGGAGGACTGACTCGATTAGGGGTGTAATGAGCCGAACACGAGTGAGCTCAGGCTCAGCTCGTTTTAAGCTCGTTTATATTTCGAGCTCAAAAAGTGTGTTCATGTTCGACTCGTTTGCTTAACGAGCCGAACACGAGCTGTTCACGAACAAAGATTCGTTTTGGCAACCAAAATCACGTAGCCATAAGATGTTAAGGGTTTGAGCAAGATTTAAAAATTATTGTTTATATTAAAACATCATTTGCGTTTAATTTAATAATTTTCATTCTATTTTCTTAATTAATTGTTTTAATTGATTATAAATCTTTATAGCCTTGTAGTCAATTAAATTTTTTAAGAATACCTCAATTAAATTTTTTAAAAATACCACTCTTCAATATATATATATGTATATATATATATATAATTGGTGAGTAGTATTTTGAGCCAAAACGAGCCGAACACGGGCTGTTCATGAACAACGAGCCGTTTTGACAGCCCTAATGGGATGAGGTTTTATCACTACGTTTGATATTTGAGTGAGAATTTGCCAAATGGATGAAATAGGGTGCTTGATTTTTACATAACCTTGTTGTGGGTGTCTTGTATGTAATAGCCTCAATTCAAATTATGGATTTGATGTTTGAACAAGAATTTGAAAAATGGATGAGAGAGGGTGCTTTATTTGTAGATAGGAACGAGCCTGCGTGTAATTGCTTAAAATGACAATATGGGATGGAGTTTTATCACCACCTTTGATGCTTGAGTGAGAATGTGAAAAATAGATGAAATAGGGTGCTTGATTTGTAGATGACAAATATTTATGCAAATTACATACAGGGCACTCAAAACTAATGGTTGTGCTGTGGGCTGTGGTGGTTGTGCTGTGTGTGAATGTGTGGTTGGGTGGTTGTGGTATGGTGACTTTGGGTTGGGTGGTTGTGGTACTGTGTTTTGTGGTGTGGTGGCTGTGTGATGTGTGTGGTGGATGGTTGTGGTGTGATGGTTGTGGGTTGGGTGGGTTTGGTGTGTTTTGTGGTGTGGTGGCTGTGGGATGTGTGTGGAGGTGTGCTTGAGTGGTTGTGGTGCGGTGGCTGTGGGTTGTTATGACTGTGCTTTTGGCAGTGGTGGTTGTTCTGTGGGTTGTGGTGCCTATGCTGTGGGTTGG